TTTTTGTAGACGGAATATTATACAGTTTTCAGATCAAACAAGAACAGCTGCAAGTTGTATAATCTTCTCTCGAAATTAGTTATTTATGGAAAAGTTGTAATACTACAGTAGTTTTAATTTTTTATAACGTTAGTACAGGAAGTATCTCGCATTCTTGTTCAGCTAAAGAGTTTGTATTTACTTTTTAAATAAGTTAAAAAACCGAATGCCTTGATATATAAAGTATGTGTTGAATTTCTTGATGTTTGAATGACAATGCCCAATATTGAAATTAATTAAAGTTGAAATCTGAACAGTTTATTATACACGTCGCTGATTTTCAAGTGGGAAGGTTCTTGTATTTTGACTGTAAAAACTCCTTGTATTTTATTCTTCCTGACTTGCACGTTCGAACCCTGTTTAAAGGTTGCATTAGTTTACGCGGAAGGCTTGTAAAATATGATTGACTGATTCTGATTGAAACTCTTGACAGACAATACTTTTTTCTAAAACTGTTCATTGTCGGATGCAAACGACGGTACCAGAAGTAATTAGGGGCGGACCATTAGAAATCCCGGGAGGGGGGGTGAAAATTCCCCCAAAAAAATTCGTGCAAAGAAAAATGCCTGGAAAAAAAATTCGTGCAGCCATTACGTCAGAGAAAAAAAATTCGTGCAAGCAAACAGCAAAGTACAAGTAGTCTTGAAAAAAAATTCGTGCAGAGGTTAAATGCATTAAAAAAAATTCCTGCAGAGACATGAGACTGAAAAAAAAATTCGTGCCGCAAAAATTTTATACCCCCCCTCCCGGGATTTCTAATGGACCGCCCCTTAGAAGGCGATTATTATGCAAATCATGGTTTTATAATATTCCAAATTGATCTTGTTATATAATTTCTCCGAGTCGACTAATTGCATGTGACTGACTATTAATCAGTCATGCTTAGCTTTTCAATTCGACAAACATTACACAAGTCCAGTGGAGTTCTCAAGCGCACTTTTATCAAATCAACTGCTGCAAATATGCCGATACAAGTACGTTTATATTTGTTACTTTTTGATACATTGGTAGACTGGTAGTGTTACAATTATTAGTGTTACTCGGTTACTGAGCCAAAGTCTGTACGTTACAAACAAGTCTTTTGGACTTTTGATTAAAATAATTTCATGTGTTGACTTTAGTTCGGTATTTTGTTGACTTTAGTTGTTTTGTTAAAAACTTACCTGAATGCTTAAGTTGTATAAATATTACTGTAATTGTAAGCATTCTGTTTGCACTCTGCATTTTTGAGTGTCTGACTGTCTGTCCCCTTTCCTAGACAATTGCTCGCTAGACTGACTTTCCAAAGCTTTTTAAAAGCACCCCAGGAAGCTTCGCTATCAAATGTGATATTAAGTATTGTGAAATGACAATGCAGTAATCTGAACTTTGCTCAGACTCAATAAAATGTAACCAAGGCAAAAGGTGTACAGCTCTATAGACATGTATATATAGTATGCTGATGTTAATTCACAGTTTTGTGCTACATCCAATATTCTCCTTATGGATTGAATTACAGTATAGGTGCAGCTGTTATGTATCTTATGCTTTGGGGGCAGGTGCTATCCCAGTGACGGGAGGGGGGGGGGCTGTGGGCTAAATTGCAAGGCATTGACTGAAAACTGGCTAAAACCCATGTACTGAACAGATTGATAATGTACATTATGTTATACTTCAGGGTGTAAAATCTGTCAAAAGAACTATATTTCAATGGGAGCATAATTGGTTTTATTTAATACACTGGCATAGTGCTTCAAACTGACAGTTAGTTTATTGCCCAATTAATATCATATCATACTTCCACTTTTCACTAGGTTGGTGACAAGCTACCCTCCATTGATGTGCATGAAGATACACCAGGGAACAATGTAAATATGGGGGAATTGTTCAAGGGAAAGAAAGGCATTCTCTTTGCCCTTCCTGGTGCTTTCACACCTGGCTGTAGTGCTGTAAGTGACTTTGTTAGAAATACCAGAATTCTTGTAATTGTTAATTTTTTAAGTAACTGTAACCAGTTACGTTTTGGCTTAGAATGGAACGATAACGTGTTACTTTTCTGAACAATATTTACGTTTTTCATTACATTTTCAGATTAAAATATATAGTACTGCTAAATTTTGTTTATACTATCAACTTCTATTATGTTATTGTAGTTGATGACTTGATTCACTGTACAATAACTCTCTTGCCTATTTGCCGGCCTGCAGTTGGCTCATCCTATTCTTTGCAGTAATTTAATTGAACTCACTGGGTCACTGACAGATACTGTCAATGTAATTAAGTAAAACTGAAAGTAACTTTTTAACTAGTTACAAAAATTGTGAAGTCAGGGGCGTCGCTAGACCTATTTGAATGGAGGGGGGGAGGTAGAAAAAATTTTTCTGGACATAAAAACTTTTTTGGAACATATCCTAATTTTTTCGGACATACAAAAAATTTTCCGGACATATTATAATAATAATTTTTCCAAAAAATTTTCCAGACATATTGTGATTTGTTAACTTTTTCCATAATTTTTCGTAAATTTAGTAAATTTTTGTTATAACTATTACTTTTTATTCCAAGCCATTCAAATATTTTCGCTCACCACAAAAACAATTTTCTAATAAATCCAGAAACAATTTGCTGAGTCTAGCAGACATTTGTAGAGTTAGCAGACATTTGCCGAGTCTGTAATGAATGGGGGATGTTAACCCCCTCCCCCCCCCCCACACACACACCCTCTAGCTTTGCCCCTGTGTGAAGTAACTTTGTAACGGTAACTAGTTACATTCTAGGGTAATACTCTATCCTTGATTAACTCTATGGTTTATGACCAATTACTTTAGACTCACTTGCCTGGTTACCTTGAAGACTTTGACAAGATAAAGGTATAGCAAGTTTTCTTTGATTACTTTATCAAGGTAATTACTGTAAGAATTAATGTTGTTGTAACACAATAATTTATAATATATTGTTCCAGGCAAAAGGTATTGAAGTGATTGCATGTCTTTCTGTCAATGATCCTTTTGTGATGGCCGCGTGGGGTGAACAGCATAAAACCGAAGGCAAGATCAGAATGTTGGCTGACACTACAGCAGAGTTTACCAAGGTAGGCCGGGCATCTTTAATGGTACTGCATGCATGCATTCAACAACATTTTCTTGAAGGAAGTTTGGGAAATATACAAGAAAATCATTTTGGGGGTCGGGCAACTGCCTATGATTGTAACTAAGTCTCCCACTGAAACCCTAGTGTTGACATAAATATTTTTCTTGTGCTAAAGGCCGTTGAAATGGATTTTGATGCCACACCAATCCTTGGAAATCACAGATCAAAAAGGTAGAACTAAATTAAACAAAGCTAAACAAACTTTACTGATACTTACAGTAAGGCCCATTTCCACTGAAGAAAATTTTCCGTGAAAAGAAAAACTTGTAAAATGCGATTGGCCGTGACAAATTTTCTGTTGGAAAAAATTTTCAAGTTGAGAATTTTCAACTTTTAACGGGGGCCCTTGCCCCCTGTCCATAGAAATTTTTTAGTGGATATGGGCCTTAACAGCTATATGAAATCAGTGTATGGATATTTTCCCTAAACATCCAGTAAGCACCATTCCTTACTGGTCTAGTGTTAATTACTACAGATGGAAACTTGAACTAAACTAACTTTAGCTCTATCAGTTCCAAACCATTCATTCTTTATATGTTGTTTAAATTACTAAGCTAATTCCGACTATTTTCATTTTTAATTTAAAGATATTCCATGGTTGTAGAAGATGGTGTTGTCACGGCTTTGAACTTGGAACCAGATGGCAAAGGCTTGACCTGCAGTCTTTCTGATAAAATCTTGAAACAGATTTAAATATTCATTCATGGTTATCAGTGTTATCAAACCTTGTGTTAGCTACATAGTATATTAGTCATTTATAGAATGGAAAATAAATGAATTTAGAAAATATTGTGTCTGAAATTCATACTCAAACATTTGGGGGGGGGGGGGCAGATAGTTGATTCTGTTGAGTGGTCCACTTCGATGGTATCAGTGCCGTGATTGGTGCATTTATGGCAAGATAACGCATTTTGATTGGCTGAGGATGAAGCACTTGCGCAATAATTTTGTGCGGTCGTGGAGGTTGGGAACTACTCGTTATTCAAAAACAAATATGGCGGATCAGAAGTATTTTTCTCCAGAAATTGTGGCGGAGTTTTTGACGAATTTTGAACAAAATGAACTAGATGTATGTATAATATAAATGTATTCTGTTAGGGTAGTATGCGTGTGGTTGTCTCGCAGTGCTGTATGCAGCATCAAGATCGAAAAGTAGAAAAATTTCGTATTTTAAAAAAGCTGAAAATCTGTCAAGTGTTATTGCATGCACAAATAACTCTAATTTAAACCGTTTTTCTCTTTATGTCACAGGGTTTGGCAACGGCTGAAACTTATTCCCAACAACTAGCTATTTACCTTGTGCAAAATGAATTGTGAGTACAATACATTTCTTTTTAAATTTTAATATTTAACAATTCGAGTTTGTACAATTTGATTATTTTGATAATTTATTTTTCTTTGACAATTCATCTTCAGAGCGAACGCAAAGTTCCTATGGAAGAGAATTCCAGAGGATGTTAAAACGGTTGGTGAATATGTCATTTAAATCATATATACGTTTTCCAGACTGCTAAGTTTGACAAGGTAGAACAGTTTAGGACTGATGGAGCTATCTGCCAGTATGAACAAGGGTGGATTTTCATTTTTTTAAAAGGAGGGATGGAAAAATTTTAGGCGTTAGGGTGTAAGCGGCACCAGTGACCGAGTATAAGAGGGGTTAGGCGTTAGGGTTAGACTTTCACGCAAAATAGTATAAGAGGGGTTAGAGAGATTCTAGAGGGGGGTAACCC